GTTGGTTTGCTAAACCTTGTAAATGAATTATCTTTTGAACTTCCATTTCACATTGTCTAGTACGAGGATCAAGGTGAGATAATGATAATTCATTCCAACAAATATCTTTTCCCAGCTGTTTGTTCTCACCCCCTAATGTTGGAAAAACTGATTCGTCAAAATGACAATCAACAAAACGAGCAGTGAATAAATCTCCCGTCAAGGGTTCTAAGTATTTTATGATTGACGGGGACTCATATCCAACATAAATTCCCAACCTCCTTTGAGGACCCATCTTAACACGCTGTGGTGGAGCAATAGGGATGTAGACGGCACACCCAAATATTTTTAGATGGGAAATATTAGGTTCCTGACCAAAAACCATTTGCAAGGGGGAAATTTCATGATAACTTGTTGGCCTTATGCGAATTAATGTTGCCGCATGCAATACAGCATGTCCCCAACAAGAAATTGACAAGCTTGTTTTCATAAGCAATGGTCTTGCAATAAGTTGCAAACGCTTAATAAATGATTCTGCAAGGCCATTTTGTGTATGAACATGTGCTACAGGATGTTCAACATCAATCCCAGTGGACATACAATAGTCATTGAAAGTTTGTGAAGTAAATTCACCAGCATTATCTAGACGTATTTTCTTGATTGGAAAATCAGGAAAATGTGCTCGTAGTCGTATCAATTGGGCAAGTAATCTAGCAAACGCCAGGTTGCGAGTTGATAGTAAGCACACATGTGACCATCTAGTTGATGCATCAACTAAAACCATAAAATATCTAAATGGTCCACATGGTGGGTGAATTGGCCCGCATATATCACCCTGTATACGTTCTAAAAATGTGAGAGATTCACTCCTTACTTTCACAGGTGATTGCCATATAATCAACTTGCCACGAGAACATGAAACACATGGTACACCTTTAAACTGATAAATTTTGTGACCTTTCAATGGATGCCCACATGTATTGGCAATGATTTTTCGCATCATAATCAATCCAGGATGGCCTAACCGGTCATGCCAAACTATAAAATTATCAAGATTTGTAAACTTCTGGTTTACCACTGCATGTGTTTCAATTGTACTAATAAACGTGTAGTACAGCCCAGAAGAAATAGCAGGCAATTTCTCCAATATGTATTTTTTTATCGGAGACCATATTTGTTATCATAATATACTCTTTACTCTCTTCTTCCTTTGTCTCAATATGATATCCATTTCGGCGAATATCTTTGTAACTCAATAAATTTCTTTGAGACTTTGAAGAGTATAAGGCTTCATTGATATATAACTTGGTTCCTTCTGGTAACAATACACTAGCTCTTCCGGAGCCTTCAATTAAATTTGTACTTCCAGATAGGGGTGGAAATCGGTACGGTATCGGTATCCCAATACCAAATACCGAAATCCCGAATACCGAATTACACCCTAAAATCAATCCCAATCCCAATCCCTAAATAATTTCGGTATCCCAATCCCAATCCCTAAATAATTTCGGTATCCCAATTGGTACCTCAGTATCCCAATCGGTATTATCGAATACATAATTAATTACCTTTACAATTAATAATTAAATATATAAATTAGACTTTATTGTTTAATTTAGGGCAAAGAGACTAAGCAAATAGTCTTGAGTTGCCTAGAGCTAACATATCAAATTCTTGTAATTGGTAATCTTTAATTTGACGAATTTGAGGTTGAGAGACGACTAATACTAGTATGAAATAGTGATGTAATGATCTATGTATAATTAAATGACGAATTTGGTGGTTGATGGTCACGTAGTAGTGAATGAGAGAGTCTAGTTGAGAGGATTACATACACACTAGCTTATATTTCGGTATTGATTGGTATTTCGGTATATACCGATCCCAATCCCGTAATCCCTAATACCAAATAACAATTGAAATTCAATCCCAATCCCAATCCCAATCCCACAAAATAATACGTGTATTCGGTAATACCAAATATAGACAAATTCGGTACGGTATTCGGTATATCCCAAATACCGGTACTAAACTTCCAGCCCTACTTCCAGATATAGTACTAACATTTGCTTCTCGCATTTCAAGATGCGAAAAATATTTCTTATCCTTCAAGATTGTATGTGTCGATGCACTATCAATAAGACACACATAATGGTTTTTGATGTTGGTGCCAAGCATGGGAATATTCATTCTTCATAAAGATAGAAAGTAAATCAATATAAGAAAATATATCCAAATAAATATAAAAATAATGACATGATAATAATAGATGAAATTAAACCACATAAGGATTATAAAGAGAAATTATATTAAACTGACACATTAATAGGAAAAAACCAAGGTTCTAAAAGGCGCTCGGCTCCTGACTTGTGCCTTGCCTGATTAGGTGTAGCCTAGGCGCGCCTAGGCGTTCAGAGCATAAATGAAAAAGTTCTCAAATATTTCCTGTTTTCTGGAATAATTCATATAATCCAAGTGCATATAAAATTAGCAATGTCTAGTTCTTAACAGTAAACACTTAACATAACAAATAACAAGCAAATAGTGACCACTTCCTAGAATCACAAGTTCATAAAATGTAGAAATACTAAACAATAGTCAATAAGTTCATAGGAAAATGTTCATTCTTCATCATCCAAGTAGGTCCGTCCAGCCACCACTTCATCTTCATCATCCTCAAAAGCAATCTCCTCACCATCCTCCTCCTTTTCCTCCTCTTCAGACTCTAATTCTTCATCATGGAGCTCTCTCACTCGTGCACTCCTGTGAAGCTCACTCTGTTCACCCGCCATTGCATCTGTAATAGTACTCGAGGGTGCACAATATGATTCCTCAACCTCATCTACGAATACATACATAGCATGGTCATCCCCTTCCCGTGTTTCTGATTTTCTAGGGAAAGAGGCAATTTTCTGATTTCCTAGGACAAAACGAAGAGTATCGGGTTTAACCACCTAAGCTCGCCCAGGAAAGCCCAGGCACGCCTTCTCTCCACTAGGCGCAAACTAAGCGCTATTCCTACCTACTAAGCGCTACCAGCGCCTTTTACAACGCATATGGCCAAGTCAAGGCGATCCTCCACCGCCTAGCGCCTAATTGAGCCTAGGCGTGCGCCTAGGCGCGCCTTCTTGAACCCTGGGAAAAACACACTCAAGGAAAACGACAAAGAAAGTGAAATTTCAAATGGGAAACCTAAACTTTTCACTTGTGAACAAAGCGACAACGAAATAGAAATTTCAAATGGAAATGCTAAGTTTTTCACATGCGAACATTCCCATCACCAATCAGGTGATCTATTTTTCCTTCAGGGTGGGCAAAGAAGTCGGACACATCTAGATGAATAGCATCATTATAGTCTTTTCATGAATCATCTTCCTCAAAAATACAATTGGTTTCTATCTTCTTCCCTTTCAATGATTTTTGGTAGAGGTTAACCAAGTGTTTTGGCGTACGACAGGTACAAGATCAATGACCTTTTCCACCACAACGGTAACACACATTTTCGATGTGTTTGTTACCATGAAAACTTTGTTCCTTGCTTCTTCTACCATCATTTTTTCCACTTCTGGGGAAAAATGAGCTTTTCCAACTTTCACCACGACCAAGATCTCGGCCACGGCCACGGCCTCGAGCATGAGCATGACCACGCCCACGTCCTCGTCCATGTCCACGTCCATGTATTTGCCCATAAGGATATTGGGTGAACGTCGCCGCATTCGCTTCTGGGAATGGGGCGGCACCAGTAGGACGAGATTGGTGATTTTTCATTAGGAGCTCATTATTTTGTTCAGCAACAAGGAGACAAGAAATCAGCTCAGAATATTTCTTGAAACCTTTCTCACGGTATTGCTGCTGCAGGAGCACATTGGATGCATGAAAAGTGGAGAATGTTTTTATCCAACATATCTTCATCAGTAATATTTTCTCCACATAACAGTAGTTGTGAGGCTATTTTGAATAGTTCCGAATTATAATCACTCACAGATTTAAAATCTTGTAACCTCAAATGCATCCAATCATAACGAGCCTTAGCAAGAATCACAGTTTTTTTTGGTGGTCATACCGCTCCTTCAAATTAGTCCACAAAATAAGTGGATCTTTGACCGTAAGATACTCATTCTTCAATCCCTCGTGGAGGTGATGTCGAAGAAAGATCATTGCTTTAGCTTTGTCTTGATCTGATGCTTCATTGCCCTCTTTAATCGTGTCTCCAAGACCGTTGGCAGCTAAATGAATTTCAACATCTAGCACCCATGATAGGTAATTCTTTCCAGTGACATCAAGAGCCACAAACTCAAGCTTTGAAAGATTCGACATACTTGAGCAGAACAATTGTGGATTTAACCTTTTCAAAAGGAAGAGTCTCGTGCTGATAACGTGTTATTAAACTAATTGAAAATGTAAACAACTACAAGAGAAGATTAGAGAGGGAAATACACAAGAGAAGTGAGGGGAATAGTTGTTCTTATTCATACTCATTTGTGATACAATATTGTGCTCTATTTATAGGCACCCTTTGGTAACCACTACATCCTTACATCAATGCATATGAATTAGAGATAATAATATAGGAATGGTTATCCATATATAAATATTTACATAATAATATTAACTTTTCAGACATAACTTCCAATACAATTTTATTATTTTTCAAAGAAACAAGAGTCTTATAACAACTACAAAGTTAATTCCTTGTAAATAAGTATGAATGGTTAATTATAAAAGTAATAAATATTAGTAAATTAATCCACACACATGCTATATTGTAGTATGTAGATTGTAGAGTCTCTTTGGTTCTCTTTTCCTTTCTTCTTTTTTAGACGTGGCGTGAGTTGTATCAGACTATCAGCTACTTTATGTTGCGGTTGCCACTTGAATTATGGATCAACCTCTGTTCTTTATGCTGCAGTGCTGACGGCGAGTAGATATAGAAACCCGCAGTAGCAGTTTACACTTCCAACATCCAGCAAGCTTCCCAGTCCATTAAAACCCTCGAATTGCCATAAATTTTCTCATCCCCAATGGCCGGAGCTGAAGCGCCGCCGGTCTCGGCTCAGGTCGAAATCCCGGTAGAAACCTGGCTAACTTCTCTGGACCAAAAATTGCAGGACTCACTCCCACCATCCTCCAATTGGCGAATCTGCAGAGTCCCCCGCAAGCTCCAGAGCGTGAAGAAAGACGCCTACAGCCCACAAGTCATCTCAATTGGGCCCTTCCACCACGCCGCCGACAACGTCAAGCCCATGGCACACCACAAGCTCCACTACGCCACTTGCCTCCTCTCCCGCACCCCAGCCACCAAATCCACAGCCACCCTCGCCGCCTGCGCCGATTTCCTCCGCCGCTTCGACGCCACCATCCGCGCCTACTACGCCGAGAAGATCGATCTCAACCAGACCCAGCTCGCCGAGGTCCTAATCGTCGACTCCCTCTTCATCATCGAGCTCTTCGTCAGGTACTTCAATGTCGATCTCCGGCTGCAGCACGACCCGATCTTCACGAGCTCCTGGATGATTCTGACCCTCCAGCGAGATCTGCTGCTGCTTGAGAATCAGATCCCTTTCTTCGTCCTCGAGATGCTGTTCATGATTACCGTCAAAAGAAGCGCAATCGGGCCGTCCATGCCTCCCCTGCCCGAACTCGCTCTGCTTTTCTTCAAATCTGCTCTGAATGTGGACGAAAAATCCAGCCCAATCGGCGGAAGCACTACTTGGAGCTGCCACCATCTGCTCGATCTAACTTACAGATCTTACTTCTGCCCATCTCCTAGGCTGAATCTCAGAGAAGAATCGAATCGAGATCTGGAACGATTGGCAGCGCCCGATTTGGTCAGGGGAAGAGGTGAAAGGGGGAAGAAGAAGAAGGAAAAGCCGTGGGTTCTAATCCAATCAGCCAAAGAACTCAAGACAGTCGGGATAAAGTTCAGGAAAGTAACAGCCAAGCATCTGTTCGAGATGGAGTTCAAAGACGGGAAATTCAGAATCCCGCCATTGACAGTCCACGACTCGACGGATTCGTTGCTGAGAAACCTCATGGCCTACGAGCAATTCTCCCACGCGAGCAGGCAGTTCGTGACGTCGTACGTAATGCTGATGGATCGGCTGATTGATACGAAAGAGGATGTTCAGATACTGGAGAAGGCAGGGGTAATCGAGAACGAATTGGGGGATTCGGGTTACGTGTCGAATTTGTTCAATGAGATGTGCAAGCAGATTGTGTTCAGGGAGTTCTACTACGATGGGTTGTGCGAGCAGGTGAATGGTTACAGCAAGGGAAGGTGGCAGAAGTCGAAAGCCCATTTCAAGAGTGTGTATCTGAAGAACATTTGGACGATCGTGTCGTTGTTCGTTGCGGCTTGGGTGCTTGCTGCTACTACCATACAAACTGTCTACTCTATTCTCGATTACAATAAACCGTGACGCCACTTTGTTTCTTGGGTTGGGAGACTCCATTTCTGTGTGGCTTGAGATTTTCTGTGTGGATTTTGATATCGTACTATGTAATGATGCAGATAAAAATAATGTTTGCCCAAGTAATGTACAATTGTGGAAGCAACTTAGATATGGCTCATCGCAAGATAAAAATCTAGTTCTATAAAAACTTATGCTTACTTCCTTGGATTTAGTATGGACAAAATTGGAATGATCAATAGAACATGCAAAAGATTACAAATTAAAACGTCATAGGTTTTGCATCAAGGAAGGCTACAACAAATCGAGCCCTGCAAACTAGAAACATACATGTAACATGTTGGGTTGACCAAACAAATTGGATGAAAGTAGGGATGGCAATGGGTCGGGTTGGGGCGGGTTTTGCCAAACCCGAACCCAAACCCACGGGTTTGTCTGTAAAAAAACCCGGGGTAAAACTCGCTGGGTTTGAAAAACCCAAACCCAACCCAACCCGCTGGGTATCCGCGGGTTGATGGATACCCGTGGGTTTTTTTTTAAGAGAGAGCACTCGCAACCTTTCCCCGCCGTGGACGGAGAAGCCCCGCGCCGCCGAGGAACGAGGTGGAACTGCTAGCGGCCTGGAAGTAGAACACGCGGAGAGGCAAATAGATTACATCGCCCCCTCCGTTTGACCTGCCAACTCTCGATACGGCCAAGCTGCTCGCTTTCCCCTTCTATCCTGAGTTCTTCGAATCCCTAGATTTCGGAAGAGGAGCCGGCGAGAGGAGCCAGACAAGTCAGAAGACAGGAAGACAGTGAGACGAAGTTACCCGCACCGTGCCAACTCGTCGACAGGAGGCGGAGCCGCGAAGGAGCAGGGGGGATGGCGGGAATGTCGACCGTCGGGCGTCGAAGGGTGGCGGAGCAGAGGAGCAGGGAGAGGGCGGCGGGGCGGGCGGCGGGAAAGGAGTCGGAGGTTGGGAGCAGAGAAAGAGCAGGGGGAGGACGGCGGGACGAAAATTGGGTCTGACGGGGCGGCGGCTGTCGGGAATGGAGGCGGAAACAAAGAGCAGAGGAGCAGGGGGAGGTCGCCGGGATGGGAAGTGGGAACCTGGTTTTGGTGCTGGCGGGTGGCGGGCGTCGGATTGGAGTGTAGGGACGGGAGGGTGGAGACTGGAGATGGAGATCGGCAGAATCGCTAGTCAGAGAGGGAGAGGGATGAATGCGGCGGGACTTTTGTGTTCTGGAGAGATGGGAGATGTTTGGGAAATTTAGGGTTATTATGTGTCTCCGGGTATCCACGGGGCAGGTACCCCCGAACCCGACCCAGCCCACTCAACAGTCCACCGGGTTTAAACCCGAACCCAACCCGGTCAACACTGGTTTTACCCGCTTTGACCGGGTTGGGTCGGGTCGGGTACCCACGGGTCCGGGTTTTATTGCCATCCCTAGATGAAAGAGATGTCGAGGACAGGGCTAGGATGTAAGAGCAAACATCTTGTTCAAGTTGGACCAAAAAATGAACACATATTTGCTCGAGATACGACAAATCCATACAATGAAAGAAGGAAATCGATTAACCATTCATTATGGGTTAGTATATGGACGTCCTTATCAACAAACCCAACGAAAAGAAAAGCGAAGAAAACAGATTTTTCTTCGTTGTTTCTGATGATAGTCCTTACACCTCAAATCTATATATCTATCTATATCTATATCTATATCTATATCTATATCTATATCTATCTATATCTATATCTATATCTATATATTATGACAATTCAAAAGTAACATCTTGCCACATAAGCACTTGGAGAAATAACAAGTTGTCTAAGTGGACATTTTTTTTACTAACAAAAAAATTTATTAATCTATTTATTAAACTATCTCTCTCTTCTTTTAGTATTTATGCTCACTTTTACTCAACATTAATAATAAGTTACATCCCCTCATCCTAGATGTAAACCATTGGCAATTACACACCCGTGTTTTGCTGATGATTTACTGGTTTTCACGAATGGTTCTATAAGAGGGGTGGCAGGGATATGTCGGGTTCTTGATGCTTTCTATAAAGTCTCTGGCCTTAAATGCAATCCGGATAAGTGTCAATTATTTTGTGGGGGAATCTCGGAATCTGAACAGCAATATATTTCATCATATTCGAAGTTTCCTCTTGGTACCTTGCCTGTTAGGTATTTGGGAGTCCCTCTTATTACTGGTAAACTATCTCGAGCAGACTGTCGTGTTTTGATAGAGAAAATTACAGCTAAGATTTCAAGCTGGAGGCAAGAACTTTGAGCTTTGCTGGGAGATTACAGCTTATCACATACGTTCTGACTAGTGTTTTGCAGTATTGGATGGGAATCTTTCTTCTTCCTCAGTTTGTCATTAAGGAAGTAGAATCTATTTGCAGTAAGTATTTATGGGATATTACTGAATCATCAATGAGGACAAGGGCTGTTGTTTCCTGGGAGTTCCTTGCTCGGCCTAAGAAGGAGGGGGGCTTAGGGATTCGTGGGTTTGCAGTCTGGAATAAGGCCTGTGTGCTTCGACATTTTTGGGCAGTCCTTGCTGAGCAGGGGTCCCTTTGGGTAGCCTGGATTCATCGCTATCGTGTCAAGAACAAATCAGTCTGGGATCTTAAGTCTTCCTCTGCGTCTTCCTGGATATGGAGGAGGATTTTGAAGTGTCGAGATGTGGCTAGGCCTTTTATCTCCTTGCTGCATGGGAGCTTGGCATGGGATGGAGAGATTATGGAGTCATACTCTGTCAGGAGGGTCTGGCAATCGCTTCGCCAGAAGAGGAGTGTTGTGCCTTGGAAAAAACTGGTTTGGGACAATGTTGTTATCCCTCGCCACGGATTCATTCTTTGGTTAATCATCCAGGACAGACTGAAGTTGCAGGATCGTCTTATCTCCTGGGGGAAGCCTCTATCGGGCTTGTGCTTGCTGTGCCCTGGTGGGATGGAGACTCGGCATCACCTATTTGTGGAGTGTGCATTTGTGAGATATATGCTTGTGCATGTTTTGAAGTCTGATGCGCCGCCATCGTTTGTTGATTGGCCGGAAGTATTGCACTGGTGTGTCACTCACTGGGGTGGAAGCTCTGCTTCTGCACGTCTTAATCGGCTATCATGGAGTGTTGTTTTAAGTTTGATTTGGAGGGAGCGATGCTCTAGAATGTATGGGTCAAATAGTGCTTGATCTCCTTCACAACTGGTTGCGCAAGCAAAATGGGTTATTGAGTATCGATGTATGCTTGATCAGAGCTTATTGGATTGCTTCATTGCTAGGGGCTTGGGGTAGTTTTCCTTTACTTGAGTGATTATTGTACAGACTATTTGTTCCGAGGAGCGACATAGTGTTTATGTTATTGGTTGCCTGTTCTTAATGAAATTTTGATCTAAGTATAAAAAAAAAAAGTTACATTGAAATGTAAATAAAAACAAGCATAAATAATAATAATTTTTGTCAATTAAACAAAATATAAATATGAAAACAAAGAATGACATATATCGGGTTTGTTAATTTTGATGAATTATCTACTCATTTTAACCAAAACTTAATAATAAGTTACATTTTGATGAAAATTTTAAATAAGTACACACATAAATAATAATATATTTTTCTCTAAAATAAATTATAATTAAACAAAGAAACAAATTAAGCATTTGAAAATCAATCAAATTTGAGAAATAAAATATATGAATTTATATATTAAACCTTCTCTTCTTTATAATATATATGTCTACCAATTAAAATAATTTTTATATAAATAATTATTTCATATAATAAAATAATTATCAGAATATAACTTGATCGAGCAATAATAATAATTTCTTTAAAAACATTTATATTCATTCTGATGAAGTGAAAACATAATTCATGTTCTACCTGAAATTTCTCAAATGAAAAGTAATCACATGTGCAATGTTTTATAATTTGGTTTAAGTTCACATTAACATATTTGATTTAGATGATTTTGGTTGCGCAAGCTCAATTGAGGTCATAAATAGTATGCTAATAAATTTTCTTTTCAGATTTAGAGTTATTGCCTAGGATTATACATCAAAGTTTTCAAAATGACTTAAGTATAAGAGTTGACGAACTTTGACTTCATACGAGGCACAATATACCTTAAAAATGACACGTGTGAATGTTAAAGGAATCTTTGTTGAGAATGTACGATAAATATCACATTTCATCAATCACTAACCTAGGCATTGATCAAATAAGGATTGGCAAATTTTTATTAATAGTTGAATGTCTTTTAGACAAATCAAAATTTGAGTATTGAGACAATAAATAAATATAATGTGTTAGTTGAGATATCTAAACAAAAAATATAGTTACAAGAATCTAAATCAAGGTATTGGGTTAACATAAAGAATCTCTAATAAGAATGACCTTAATAAGGCAATTGTAATAAGTCATTTGGTTATATGGTGCGAGTCTATGTCTCCATGCCAACTTTTGGCAATAATAAAAACTTTTCAATATCAAAGTATCAAATAGGAATTTTCTATTGTAACAGTAAGCAATTTGTATTTACAATAAATTTGTCTACAATAAATATGAGTATTCAAATGTATGTGAAATGTCATTGTACTAATTCTTAAAGTTTATAAAAAAAATTCAAAAAATTATAAACCATCATTACTTAAAATTATAGGAATTTAAAAATAAATTAGTGTCACATCAACGAATGGCTAGCTCTCACTCTTCCACAGTGAACAAGTTCTAATTCTTGCTTATATACTTTTTTTGTTTACTCTTTAAATTATCATCATTATAAATAAAACATAAATTAATTTAATAACACGGAATGCAACATTTTGGTTTGTTCATATCCCTTTTCTCATACAAATTCTCTCTATAAAAATAAAATGCAATATTGAAAATAATAAAATGAAAAAATTGGATCAAGCCCCATAAAAACAAACAAACGTCTCTTCTTATTTGCTCAAAATGAGATTTCTAGCATTTCTTTTCTCTACTTTTTTCAAACAGATACAAAAGAAATAGTAA